TTGATAGAGTTACCTCCTCCTGTCTACAGGTTGGGGTCATGATGTTGAAACAAGTGTGCAAAGTTTCAAAGCCATATGTCAATGGACTTTGAAAATATTTGAACTATTACAAAAACTTTAACGTAAATTCTAAGTCGAAAAAGGGGCATAATTCTGTCAAAATGCTTGATAGAGTTACCTCCTCCTGTCTACAGGTTGGGGTCATGATGGTGAACAAGTGTGCAAAGTTTCAAAGCCATATGTCAATGGACTTTGAAAATATTTGAACTATTACAAAAACTTTAACATAAGTGGTTACGCAGACGCCGACGCCGACGCTCGGGTGACTGCAATAGCTCTACTTATTCTTATCGAATAGTCGAGCTAAAAACGGGTAGACTTGTTTGTTTGTGTTTTTTTTACAGTAAAAACCCCGTCGAAAATGGACATGAGAAATATGCATGACACTTGCCAAAAAGTTTATGTATACTGTACATACCGTATATATGATTGACACAAATTCAAAATGGTTATCTTTGCTATCATGTCAGATATTGTCGGATATTGTATATTGTTGTCATAAATTATATATTGTCAGATATTATAAGTGTGAAAAGGGGGCCATGTCGCCGCTACTTAATATGTATTTATACAGTTGTATTATACATATATGTTCATAATTCATTTGTGCTACACAAAGAGTGTTCCTCACATGCTTTTAAATTTAATTTGCGTCTTTAAAATCAGTTAGATTTTACGAGTTTTTTATTAGTTTCTATGAGTTAAGACTTTTATCTTTATAACGTGTAAGTTACAATTACTAGTAAGTGAGTTACATCGCTCTTTATATAAATTAATTGTGAGTTACATCGCTCTTTATATAAATAAAGTTTAAAAAGGTCGTATAATGTAAACTTAACTAGAAATGTGTCATCATGCCACGGATGCCCCCGAATGCAGCCAAAATTTCAGATGTTATAATATTTAGTTCCAAATTTGTTTGCACAAATTATTGTTTTCATTTAAAGTTCAAAGCCCTTAAAGCTTTTCAATGTTAACACAAACCATTTCCATACAATGTTGAAGGCACTGAAATTATTCAGTCTTAACCTTTTGAAAATAGCATATTTCATATTTGTAGCCAAAATAATGGCTACATACATTTCCACAAAAGTATGAGTGCTGAAACTGAAAGTTCAAAATTTTTCCAATTTTCAAGAAAGATAAGTTTGTCCAAAATCATTGAACCACGACCAAATTCAAACTTAAACTGCTTATTCCTAAGATGTATCTATATTATTTTCAAAGTGAAAGGGACATAACTCTGCCAAAAAAATCATCGAACCATGACCAAATTCCAACTTGACCTGCCCATTCCTTTGACATATCCATATTTCAAATTTGAGTTGAATATGTAACACTGCTGGGTAGATAATGAACAGAAACTGTAAATTTCATATTAATTTCAAAGTGAAAGGGGCATTACTCTGCCAAAAATCATTGAACAATGAACAAATTCGAACTGGGCCTGGGCATTCCAAAAACATATCCATATGTCAAATTTGAGTTGAATGTGTTGTACTGTTGGGGAGATAATAAACAGAAACTGAAAATTTCATATTATTTTCAAAGTAAAAGGAGCATAACTCTGCCAAAAATCATCGAACCATGACAAAATTGGAACTTGACCTGTGTTTTCTAATGACATATCCATATGTCAAATTTGAGTTGAATGTGTTGTACCGTTGTGGAGATAATGAACGGAAACTCAAAATTTCATATTATTTTCAAAGTAAAAGGGGCATAACTCTGCCAAAAATCATCAAACCATGACCAAATTCGAACTTGACCTGTATTTTCTCATGACATATCCATATGTAAAATTTGAGTTGAATGTGTTGTACTGTTGGGGAGATAATGAACGGAAACTGAAAATTTCATATTATTTTCAAAGTAAAAGGGGCATAACTCTGCAAAAAATCATCGAACCATGACCAAATTCGAACTTGACCTGTATTTTCTAATGACATATCCATATGTCAAATTTGAGTTGAATGTGTTGTACCGTTGTGGAGATAATGAATGGAAACTCAAAATTTCATATTATTTTGAAAGTAAAAGGGGCATAACTCTGCCAAAAATCATCGAACCATGACAAAATTCGAACTTGACCTGTATTTTCTCATGACATATCCATATGTAAAATTTGAGTTGAATGTGTTGTACCGTTGGGGAGATAATGAACGGAAACTGAAAATTTCATATTATTTTCAAAGTAAAAGGGGCATAACTCTGCCAAAAATCATCGAACCATGACCAAATTCGAACTTGACCTGTATTTTCTCATGACATATCCATATGTAAAATTTGAGTTGAATGTGTTGTACCGTTGGGGAGATAATGAACGGAAACTGAAAATTTCAAATTATTTTCAAAGTAAAAGGGGCATAACTCTGCCAAAAATCATCGAACCATGACCAAATTCGAACTTGACCTGTATTTTCTCATGACATATCCATATGTCAAATTTGAGTTGAATATGTGCAACCGTTACTAAGATAATGAACGGAAACTGATGATGACGGAATGACAGAATGACGGAATGACGGAAGGACGGAATGACGGAAGGACGGAATGACGGAAGGACGGAAGAGGGTAACACTATATGCCCCGGCCATTACATGGCGGGGGCATAAAAATGGTTAAAGTGACACATTTTGACAACCTTGAAATTGTACGGCTGTACACAAGTTGTTTGAAAAATAATCAAATTCAGAGAAACAAAAGCTGGCATATAAATTGTTGTAGTATCTTTTTATGCCCCCGCCATGTAATGGCCGGGGCATATAGTGTTACCCTGTTCCGTCCTTCCGTCCTTCCGTCATTCCGTCCTTCCGTCATTCCGTCATTCCGTCATTCTGTCATTCCGTCATCATCAGTTTCCGTTCATTATCTACGTAACGGTTGCACACATTTAACTCAAATTTGGCATATGGATATGTCATGAGAAAATACAAGTCAAGTTCGAATTTGGTCATGGTTCGATGATTTTTAGCAGAATTATACTCCTTTTACTTTGAAAATGATATAAAATTTTCAGTTTCCGTTCATTATCTCCCCAACAGTTTTACACATTCAACTCAAACTTGACATATGGATATGTCAAATAAATGCGCAGGTCATGTTTGAATTTGGTCATGGTTCAATGATATTTAGCAGAGTAATGCCCCTTTAACTTTGAAAATAATATGAAATTTTCAGTTTTCGTTCATTATCTCCCCAACGGTACAACACATTCAACTCAAATTTGACATATGGATATGTCATGAGAAAATACAGGTCAAGTTTGAATTTGGTCATGGTTCGATGATTTTTGGCAGAGTTATGCTCCTTTTACTTTGAAAATAATATGAAATTTTCAGTTTCTGTTTATTATCTCCCCAACAGTACAACACATTCAACTCAAATTTCACATATGGATATGTTTTTGGAATGCCCAGGCCAAGTTCGAATTTGGTCATGGTTAAATGATTTTTGGCAGAGTAATGCCCCTTTCACTTTGAAAATAATATGAAATTTACAGTTTCTGTTCATTATCTACCCAACAGTGTTACATATTCAACTCAAATTTGACATATGGATATGTCAAAGGAATGGGCAGGTCAAGTTGGAATTTGGTCATGGTTCGATGATTTTTTGGCAGAGTTATGTCCCTTTCACTTTGAAAATAATATAGATACATCTTAGGAATAAGCAGTTTAAGTTTGAATTTGGTCATGGTTCAATGATTTTGGACAAACTTATCTTTCTTGAATATTGGAAAAAATTTGAACTTTCAGTTTCAGCACTCATACTTTTGTGGAAATGTATGTAGCCATTATTTTGGCTACAAATATGAAATATGCTATTTTCAAAAGGTTAAGACTGAATAATTTCAGTGCCTTGAACATTGTATGAAAATGGTTTGTGTAAACGTTGAAAAGTTTTAAGGGCTTTGAACTTAAAATGAAAACAATAATTTGTGCAAACAAATTTGGAACTAAATATTATAACATCTGAAATTTTGGCTGCATGCGGGGGCATCCGTGGCATGATGACACATTTCTAGTTTCATAAATGTCATATGCCGAATTTTTCATTATTTGACTTCAAGTTTCTCACTACCATGAAGTTGCGACGACAATGATTTATCTTGATGTCGAATACATATTATACATTACCCAACACAATAACAAGAAGAAGAACAAGAAATATACTGCATTTGTATATGTACTTTTATTACAACAAAAAAGAAAAAAAACAAACTAATTTTACATATAGTTACATGTATATGTACAGTACATGTTACAGTACGTACGTATACTGATGTTTAAATACAGTAATTACTTTTTAAAATTTAAGGTTTCCACCGCATTGACCGGTGTTTGACCGCCGCGTTCCTCCGCAATTTACCACTGCGTTCCGCGGGTTAAACGGTTTCAGCCGCCGATTTATGTCCGCGGTGGTGAAAATTTTCTGTCCGCGGGGTCACGCGGACAATATCTGAGCAAATTTTCGTCCGCGGTAAACCTCATCCGCGGGGTCACGCGGGTTTTGCAAAAGCCGCGCTGAGCGTACTGTACTGGAAGAATTTCAGACGATACATGATTTATTCAAATCAATACATCAATATATGAACCCTTAACCTGCTGAATGTTTACATTGGACTTTAGGAAAATCAAGATGAAAATTTGAAATTGGTCAGCCAATAGAATAGAGGCTGGCCTGGTCAAACTGCATGTAAGCACAGGCTGGCCTGGCTCTAGACTAATCATTTACTGTTCCAGTAGGTTAAGAGTTCATACTCATAAGTAAAAGTTCAGAAGCTAAACAAAAGTTCAGAAGCTAAACAAAAGTTCAGAAGCTAAACAAAAGAAAAATAAAGTATAGAAAGACATGTGATGACCAGGTTATGACCTGTATTATTAAAGTATGATAGATATGAGATAGATATAAGACTAGTGTATTATCATGCTTCTTACCTCACTGTATTTTGGTTCACTGGACTGTGACCTCTTGTTATATAATGCCTCTACAAGTTCTCCTATACCTAATGTAACATTTAATGTTGTACTAATCTGTTTTAATGCTGATTTCTGGGTACATTCTACAGTCAGTGGTCTACCTAATAACCTGTAGTTTCAATATAATAACATTCATTATTGCTGGGTTTCTTACAACTTGTCAGAAAGAAAAATAACAGTCTAATCTGATTTTAATACAGGAAAAATCTATCATTTATGAAATATCTCCTATATGAGTGTTCCCAAAATATTTCAAACGTCAAGGATTCTATATCAGAAATCTTGACATATTATAGATGACAAGTCAACATTATGTAGCAGTGAATACCAATCATATAGTGATGTCTATTCTTTTATACATTTTATTGATATAATTTGTTTCAAAATCAGGAGAAACATAAACACAATTCATGATCATTAAACCATATTCATGTTTATCAAAATAAAAACTAAACTATAAAGCATTAATATTTACATTACCTTAGATGGTCATAAGAAACAAGACTGGTCATCTGTTTTCTAACCTCCTTCAACTCTGTCATACCCGCTGCAGACACCCCACCGACTCTCTGGAAAAACTGTGATGACATTTCTTTCGTAACTTCAAGCACTGTTTTATCAGCTGTGGATGACATGTTATTATGTAGAACAGTCACAGAGAAAAAACCTACACGCAGGTAGTAGTGGCTCAACTCTGCCGACGGATCTTCATGATACTTTGCCGTGGAAAAACCATCTACATGAAATAACACAATCATTACATTATGTAGTAACTTGCTACAATAATTTTTGTTTTTTTAATTCATGGTACTACACATTTACCTAAACAAAAGCTTTTTGAGTCAAAGTATTATTAGTCTAGACTAGTGATAGGACTGGACTTTGAAAGGAAACAACCTATTTAAGTTATTGACCGGAAAAAGTTTTTACATAAGTGTCAATGGGACAAATGATCTTAAAATCTTAAAGGTGGCTTATCAACTTGCCATGGGCAATGTCCCCACCAAGTTCCCAAACATAGACTTTTTTCCTTTTTTCAAGTTAATGACCGGACAGGAATTTTATCCTTAGTGTCCCTGTGACATTGACCTTTGACCTAGTGACCACAAAAAATAATAGCAGTCATCTACTGGCCAAGTTATTAAGCAGACATTGATGTGGTTAATGGAGGGATGGACAGAGACGGAAATATAAACAGATGTATAAGCACCATTCCATAATACTAGTGATGTTCCGATTGTCGTAAGTCGCCGACAATCAGTTACTGTTATGTAAAGCGACAATAATCGATTCACAAAAATATGTTCCGCGAAAAAATGTTTAAAGTATCAAAGGGAATTAATTCTGATGGTAATTTTCTTTTAGGAACACCTCGCCGATCGCAAAAAATCATCTCAGAGACAATTTGGAGTTAAACAGGATCAATAATTGATGTAAACAATAGTAATATAATGTGATGTGAATGTTATTATTTGACATCCATTGAAAAATAAATCTATTTCGTAAAATTATGACTATATATAAGGTTGAAAAGTGCTAAATGAAGTTCATGTTACTGGATATAATCAAATGCCTTGGGAAGAAATGTTACTTCCCTATTTCTTTTTAACGCGACTTTATTCGAAAAGTTATCTATTATGTCCCATCCGACTGAACCGATGATCGATTGGGACAAATTTCATCCGATTTCCATCACTACATAATACAAGTCAACTTCCAACATATAAAAAAGTAAAAATTCGTAAAGTTATAAAATTATGTTACCTCTGTGTGTTCTTGAAGTGCCTCTTGGTAAGTTGGTAGCTGAAGTAAATAGTTTTTTACAGCAATTATTCTTAAACCAAATCCCTCATGAAATAAAATCTCTAAGGAATCTGTTACATATAGTACATTTGCACCAGTGATATAATTCAACAAAAGAATAAGTCCGCAAATTACAAGGAATCCTCAAGTTGATAATAAATGCCAGAGAAAAATAAAAATGTACATTTTCCAATAAATTTCACATCATGCTACATATTGTGACATGTAAGTAACATGCCAGAACAAAACATTATCACAAAAGAAAAATACATGCATTGAACTTAATTTAAATACATAATGTAAACTGGTTAACTTTGATTCAAATATGCAAAAAACAGCAAGAAAACACATGAATTCCTCCATATTGAGGACAAACAACCTTATTGTGTATTTAAGCCTGTTTTCCACCTTTGCAAAATAATGTTAAAATTTGAGGTCTACAACTTACAAATAATTGATTAAAAGATGTCAGGATGAAAATTGATCTCTGCCTATTATTTTAATCACACAAAACAATATATGCTCATATTATAAAAGATAACAATACTAACATGATGGTATGGAGCTGGTAGTTCTATTGGTAGTGTTGCTATAGTTACTAGAGTAAGATGAGTCCATATCACTGGTACCAGCAGGTTGGTTAGACAACAAGGAGAAAAACTGATCATCATCATCTACAATATAACAAACAGCTGTCAGGTCTAACTACAACTGTCACTGTCCTGGCTAAATTTGTCAGGGTAAAATGACAACTCAACCCATAACTAACTAAGCAAAGGTCAACATGGCCTGTTAACAATAAATTAATAGGAAAATTGAAAACAAAGTAACATTTATAAGTAACAATAAATCTCGGACTAATAGAGTGGTATTGCTTTGCTCGCAGAAAAACGTGAAATAAAGAAGCATGTATACTGTGCTCCTCTTAGTTCACGGTACTTAACACTTTAAAACAGTAAAGAACACAAACAATAAACTTACACTACAAAAAATGTTATAAACTGTATCATTTAGGCATTTTTCTGCTATTTGACACAAGGAAACAACAATATATTCAATCAAAATTAGTTTTAATTGGTCAGATGTAAACCGTGTGTCGGCAATTTTGAAAACAAAATGTCATCACTTACCTCGCAATAATGGTGTTTTATTTCAGTTTTTTCATGTTTCAGTTAAAATTTCTTTAAGTTATTTTGAATAATTATAAAATTATAAGTATTTTTACATTGTAACTCAAAATTTATTTTTTCAACAAACAATAACATTTAGAAAATGATGATTGTTTCAGACGTATGCACAAATTTAATGGACTTTTGTTGTTTTTTTGCAGAAGTTGTAAAATATTGTTCAGTTTTACGTAAAAATCTATAGATTTAAAATATTTTGCACTTAAACTTTGTTGTTAAGGTGTTTGAATAAAACATGTCAATTCTGACCAATTATAACAATGATCACATGAAAATATGTCATTACCGTGAGATAAGTGATGACGCGGAATTAGTGATGTTGAGTATACAACAAAATCGCTAAAATTAGATTTGTACGCAAAAAATAGCCTGATATATGGTATATAGTTGTCCTATTAAGAATTTAATATAAATGATGTTATATCATTTTCCCCTCTGTGATACAATTATTCGATCTCCATATACCCCTTATCAGCTGAAAAGAGCACTGATTTATATCATCCCAAAACATTAATTCCAGCTTAATTATTCTCCAAATTTCTGATTTGTCTTTCTCTCTTGTCCCATTCAAAACATTAATAATGTTAGTGGTGGATTGTAAATAGAGGATATTGAATGAGTGTAGTTTAATACTAAATTTATTGAACGAGTTAAATAAAATCAAATTATGTGAGTCTCTGACGAGCATAATATTGTTTTATTCAACGAGTTCAATAAATTTAGTATTGAATCTACACGAATATAATATTCTATTTATCACATACATGTATATAAAATAAGAACAGTAAACTGTTAAAATGAGTAATTTTTCAATAATTGTATCACAAAATTTCAAAAATTGATCACAATTTTCTCACAAACTGCAAATGATCAACCGAAGAAGTTTGACACCTAACCATTATTAAATTCACCACTTTTTGATCATACACTAATATTGACAAAAGAGTGCAAAATATACCAAACTTTTATAAAATAAAGATTCTGTTTTCAACATGCAAATAACAAAGTTAATTCTATGAATAAAGGATAAAAAGTCTTTAAACACATGTATTCCCAAAAATGTTGATGAGAAAATGCTGAGCTCCTGACCCTTCAATCTGTGATCATCATTGTTTAACTATATATAAATATCATCTAAAAAGGATTTTACAAGTGATCTTGTCTATAAAGAAATAATTCAAGTAATTGGTATAAAAGAAAACAACCTTGTAGAGCATAGTCCTGCATCTGAGCGAGATTGTTGCTCTGAATTCTGCCAGACTGTAGTTGATGCTGTAAGTCCACCTCAACTTTCTCAAAATCTACCCGGTCCATTGGCTTGTTGCGGATACTGGATCGATGTGATTTACCACTTCCTCCAACACCTTTTATATAACATAATACTGTGTCAGAATTTACATCAATGTACTAACTTCTTCCAAAGACTTAACCTTTGGTAACTTACATGAAAAAGGTAAACAATTCTTTCAGCCAACATCTATTATCAACATTAACTCTTTAATAAGATTAAAATAATATGGTAATTGTGAAATTGACTCACTTTTACTTCCAATTCAAAATTTGAAAATTAACTTGATTACAGATAAATTTGAAATGTGTCCATATGACACAGATGCCCTCACATTCCACTATTATGTCAGTCTACTTACAATGTGTATGACAACACAACATTGGGACAGAATTGACAAGTCTACATGCTCCCCCTTCCCTCCCTAAAGAAAAGAACTTAAGCTTGAAACAATATAATGAACACAAAAAATATTTTTCACAGAGTCTGATGTTCTCTTATGCATTACTGATATATCTAAAACTTGTCCTTGAAGTAAAACAAGGGCCATGCACAAAATATCTTATTTAACAATTCAGTGAAGTCCATGCTTGTCATGGGTGTTGGTCAGTGTCCTATTATAATGCCTATGAAGACATATTAAAGTTTCAAGTGAATACTTTCAGTGTTTGTGGAAAAACGTAGATACACAATCTTAATCAGGATTTTTTAACTTAACCAAAGGAATGATTTCATGCCAGTTATGATTCTTGGACATATTCATACATATGTGACAGAAGACATGCATTTTTAATAAGATAGACAAGTGGAATAAAATTTGACCCATTCATCATGACAGAACAATGCTCTATTATATTATAACTGAAATATCCTTCAAACAGCAAACTAAAATTGTATTATAGCTGAGAAACCTTAAATTAGTAATTTGCATAAGTTTTGGGTAAGTTGCATACTCCATACAATAGGATGTGTTGTGGCTTTGGCTATGACACATATATCCCCCTTCCAACAAATCAGATAATTTAGGATTTATGATGCTCAATATTGGTTAACAAATAGCTATACTATAATAAAAGTTAAGTGAGTGTGAGAGAACAGTGCAAGAAGAGACAGACAGAAGGTAAGACAGACAGACTATATGTCCCCTTACTAAAAATGAGCATTATAAGTAATTAAAAGCTAGAGTTACATATTGCAAAATATCTACAGTTAAGAATATTTTTTCATTTTCTGAAAAGGTTTAAGCCACATCAATGGTGACTTTCAAGCTTCAATACCCTAAAGTTCCCTTTGAGAATTATCTCTGGTAGAGGCAAACTTCTGCACAGAACCACTGTGCTTACTAACATAATAATATACAATGCTAAAACAACAAACTCTATAGTGATGGACACATTATTGGAAGCTACTTCAATAACAGAGGCCATTATATCACAATTGATACTCATAGATAAGAAAGAAACATGTACCTGGAGATGTTAGACCAGATGTCAGCTCAATTATTCCATGTAGTTGCTGTGGTGATAACAGAATGTGTAACCCTCCAAACTGACATAAAATCTCCAGCTGAAAAAAATATACACTTAATTTTTGATCTCATAAACAAAACTTCAGTTATAAACTATATACAGTCTGGTCAGACAGCACATAAATGCAGGTTTTTAGTTTATAGTTTTTACTAGTGGAATATATATGCTATTATCCCAAACTTAATTGACTTTGAAGGCTTTGTTCTTCTAAACTATATTCAATTTTTTTTAGTACCTTAGGTCCATGTAATGTGTCGTTCTGTTTAGTTTTTAGCTTGATTTCTTGCCTTCCTGTCAAAACTGCCACCTGTATTGGGTTGGACTCTGGAATGGAGTTCTGGTGCTTGGGAGGGGAATTCTCTCTAGAGTCATACACACTGTATGTAGATGATGTGCTTCTTGCTGATGTAAACATCTGTTGTTGACAAAACTTATAATATCATACATGTAAATACATACAACTTGGCTCAATATTTAATTTTAGAGAATATTTTGATGAATAAAGATCTCTGTAAACTTATTATGTTGCTCAAGATGGTGTTTTTAACATAATTTACAAGTTACTTTGAATTCACTTAACTTTATGGGCATGAAATTTTGTAATTTTGTCATAAAAACATTTTCATGGGTTCTTAAATTTGTGGAGTGCCTATTTTTGCAAAAAATAAGTGAAATGCAAGTAACGTAATCCAAAATAATCTTACAGCAGACAAAATTAACTTTCGTGGGATCTTAAGTTTGCGGATTGACCATGTTGTATTGTTGTGTCATGTATAATGTCAAGTACAATATGAGCCACATCACGACAAAACCAACATAATGGGTTTGCGACCAGGATGGATCCATACCAGCCTGCGCGTCCGCACAGTCTGATCAGGATCCAAGCTGTTCGCTATCAGTTTTTCTACTTGTTATAGAGTTTGTAAGCGAACAGCATGGATTCTGATCAGACTGCGCGGTCGCAAACCCATTATGTTGGTTTTGTCGTGACGCGGCTCATATACAGTATCCTACCTGTGAAGAAGAACTCTCAGAACTACTACTTCTGGACCTGGATGGAGATTTTCTATTTGTGATTTCATCAAAGAACATCTGTACTCCTTCAATGTGTAGATTCTTCTGACTTATAGCAGCTGGTTCATATGTTATATTGCCATCAACTGAACTTCCCTCTGTTGTAGCCATATCATCAAAATACTCTATCCTATAACATGTAGACACAGAAATATATACATCTTACAAATAACTTATCCTCAACACTATATATAATATATACTAATTAAAAACTATATCTATAAATGCCCTTTTTCACTTATATATTTACACTTGTTTAGCTAAAGAACATGGCATAGTTTGCCTTTAAAAATTAGCTTTTTCATTTTAAATGACACTAAGCGATATAAAAACATTCCACCTTAATTGTTACAGGAAAACACAACATTTAGCTATACAAGCAATTTTGTAGAACAAAAACAACAAGAGCATCGCAAAGGTAGTGCAATATAGGCCTGAATTCAAATTTGAATAATTCATCAAAAATAATGTTTAAATCTGAAAAGAAACACAGTCATTTAACTTTCCCGGAACATGTTTGATCTTAATAAATTTATTTCATGTAACAATATCTCTCATTGATAAAGTAGCATTGAATCTATAACACGAAATGGTCAGAGTAGCCTGGGATTCAGGCGTTGATAGTTTTTGCTTATTTATAACATTTTTTTTCTTTATTCATAACATATGCGCTATTCCGTATTCGTTCGTGGTTTTGATAGTATCGATTTGCCAAACAGAAACATAACAAAAAATCGACAGACTGGAACCCAGGCTATGGTCAGAGGACAAATAACTAATGTTTGCTAAGTTATGTCAAATGAAATATTTGAAATATTCATAAGACTGCCTTTACAATGCGCCATATGAATACACATTACTACATACTTAATGAATCATTTGTTTGAAACAAAACAATTATATTTTAGAAAGATAATTTTAGATGTATTACCTCTTGGAAATACTTTCAATATGTTGCACTGGCTTATAAGTAAAAATAATGGGATTTTTCCAAACCAATAACGTTTGAAAAAAGGTACTTCTAAACATTATTTGTTTTAATTGTTCCAATATTTGAATCAGTTAAGATCTGTTGAATCTTGTCTTAGGTATGTGACTTTGGGTTTTTTTGTGAAGTGTTGAACTTTCAGGTACAGACATTGCATGCTGCCTCCATCAGGGTTTCAGTAATATATTAATCATATATTTGTATAATTTACCTTTTTATCCTGATTTCCATGGCAACACCTTTTTCAGATCTATCAGGGTGATGTTCTAACCTAATCACAGTGTTACTCAGTGACACACGAATCTTTGACAACACTGAAATATGTATCATTTAAACAAGGACAACCAAAAATTGTTGGTAACTAATTATATAGAGGATCATAATGTATTTAAATGTTGTTTAATTTTGACATATGTTGATAATGATCTATTGACCACATGTTTTAATATTTATCTACTTTAGATTTTTTCAAATTCTACTACATAACTACCTTTATTTTATAATCTTAAATGAAGTATACATTAAAAAAAGGTTACCAAGGCAAATGATTTAAGCCCAAAAGGGACATTACTTAAAAAAAATTAATTCTAGGATCATCTGCCTTTTAACATAAAATGTAGTGTCAAATTTTGAAAGTGAACATGTATACCAACTTTGAACAAAATGACTTTGATTAGTGAGGGAGAATGAAACTAAAATCTCTATCAAAGGATATCATATTAGAATAATCAATAAGAGTGTCATGACAATAGCACCACTTTTTCCTTTAAAAAATGGGTGTCATAGTAATGTATTCACCTGAGTCAATCATCATAGCAAACTTCTGTACACCCTCTATAGGCTCAGTTTTTTGTTGTGACTGTGTCTCAGACTCGAGGCAATCTTTGGCCAGCTGTAAACTTGTTGTCATACTAGTCTGCATACTACTTAACATTTCATCAAACCCTGTCATTTCTTAAACAAAAAAAACAGCATATTCTATTTACAACATAAATTTTATTATACAGCATATACTAAATTGTATGCCTGACATTAATAAGGAATTTAAAAGACATTAATTAACTAAGAAACAAGAGGTACTCTAAAGATTTTGCTCTCTTTTGAATGATATATATAAATTTACAATTACCAAAACTGACAGTAAGATATTTTTGTTACTTATGTATAAAGAGTAAAGACTATAATGTTGGTCAAAAGGCATAGGTTATAGATTTGTTAATAGAATGAAACACTAAATTCTTGTCATGAACATACAGTACATTTTACGGACTACAACACATTAGTTACCCTACCATTATCATCCCTGCTTTTTGGCTGGAGTGTAAGTTCAAGCCCAGTCACCTCCAAGGTTGTACTATCTTGTATAAGAGCAGACCAGGGAATGGACACTGTTATAGCTTCAACAAAACCATCCACCAACTCTACTGGCACGCTTAAAGATGCCAGGTCTTCATTAATAGCCTAAAAATGAAAAATAATTTAAACAAAAATACAACTGACATTCTTTTTGCTACAGTCAAAAGTTTTTATCATTGTAGTGTTTTATAATCTGCCAGCAATAATTAGAATGGGTTTGACATATAATCTTACACCCAGATGCCATAAAAAAACCTCTAGTAGTGGAATCCTAAACACATCTGCCATTATCAATGTGATGTAATGAAGGATGTCCACATGTGAACATCCTTAACACTGTCATCTTGCTTCTGTACAAGCTTTTCACACACTGACAGCTAATTGACTGTCGTTTATAAAACACAATTTGCTTCTTCAAAATGATTTATCAGTCATTGTTATGTACAAACCTAGTGTTCATGAAGTTGAAGTACCCTCGTAGAAATTCATAATAATTAAGACTGTCTCAGAATGTAATTTACTTTCTCGTTTGTATGAAGACTTTTTATTTTAGAATTTCAAATGGATAAGCCAGAAGTGTTTTCAAAAGATAACATGCATGTAAATTCTGGCAGCATACAAAATAATTGAGGCAAAAACATCATACTATCTCCATAGATACCGGTAACTATAAAAATCTTCCTCTACCTCCAAATAGTTTTTATCTGGATTAGGTTTTACATCACACCATCGCAGTGTAGGTCATATGGCGACTTTCCAGCTTTACAGTTTACTGTTGGTGAAGGACCTTAGGTGGTGTTGTAACAATTTGCACCAGAACACCTTACCCCACTTGAGGGACAGTTACCCCTCTGTGTGTTATTTCAGGCCAAAAAAGCAAAGAGGCGCCTGAGTAGAAACACTAGATGTTCCATAAGCTAGCTGGATAGTGTTCTCACTACAGCAGTGAGACGGCGCCCCAGTGAGAGGCAAGTGGTTACAGTATGAAGTTAACTTTGCAATGGTCACCCCTCTCTACCTCCAAATAATCAGCCAAATTGAACATAATGAGGTTAGTTTGCATAAGATGTAGATCAGATGACGCGTTTCAATGAAATATTTAATGTCTTTAAAAAATCCTGACTTACCATATGATCCAGAATTATAGAAAATAACTTTGATACAGCCCCTGTTTACAAACAAAGTCATGGCCTAATTTAAAAAGACTGTCATAATTAAAGATAGCTAAAATGTCTCTAACAATATCAGTTTAATGGTATATACTATGTAAAGATGATACCTGTACATCAAGATTTAAGTCTGTAATTTTCCCTGTCCCATTATAAAGGTCTAGGCTTAACTGGTCTAACGATAGTTTTTGTTTCAAAAACTGTCCCAAATAATGTTGTAAAATGTAACGACAGGCCTTCTTTTTCAAGAAGTCCTGCCAGTTTCCAAAAGTCCATGACATCGTCAATGTTTAACAATAATAAGAATGCCAATAATCTCGATCAATTTTCAAAATGCAGGTAAGTTTCACTTTCAATAACTTTTTGAGAAACAAAATACGCCATTTCATTTGATCGGTATACTTCTGGTAATATCGCAAAACTAAACGTAGTGTAAGGGACACAACTCTAATGTTATCAATAATTTGAAGGGGTTTTCTCAAGCAAGTTTTTATCTGTCTAGCTGATGTCGTCCGTATCCCAGTCGCGATTACTTCCCTTGACCAATAACTTGTTACTTTTTGAATACTTCGACATTATTAGACATTTCTCAGAATTAAAAGATGATCATTAATTAACTACAGTAGGATCCCCTTTCATGGACTTTCGTGCATTTTCTTTTATGAAGAACGGGTCTCCCATTTTCCCGCAAACCGGTTATTGTGTTATTAAGTCGTGCTAATAAAAATCCCCAATAAAAATACACATATGCATTCATAGCCTAAATTTCATATGGCTGATTTGGTACATTGCGCGTTGCATTGTCGACAGCCGATAACGCAACCTCTATCGTGATCGCCTTTTCGTGTTGTCGCTAGCGACAACACGACAAAGGGCCAAACGGCGCGTCGTCACGTTGTCGTCCTGTCGCTAGCGAAACACGCCAAACGTTGTCGTGCGGCACGTTGACGCGATGTCGCCCTGTCGCTTGGCTTATAAGCCAATCCTTCGATTTGAACCGAGCGATAATATGACATCTCGACAACACGCCGCACGACAACGCGCCGTTTGGCGTCCAAAGTCCGACAACGCGCCGTTTGGCGCCTTGTCCTGTTGTCGATAGCGCTATATCCATATTATACACACCCGATATGACCCAACATGCGGGAAATCGAGTTGAATTTATGGACCTCACACATGGAGTCGCCAGCGGAATCCCAATGGTCGACTAATTCCAGAAAGCTTATTTAAGATTTTTTTTAAGCAGAAATTACTCCATTCCAGGAGTAACAACCGATTCTTCTGTTCAAAGTGTAAAGCATCATGTCACGAGACCTCGGATTTAAAGTCTTCTCAGTAATACTTCTCAGTAATTTTAGCTGGAGTAGCTAGTGATGTCCAGAGTTCGCGACACATACTAGTAAATATGAAGTCAGAGGGTTTCTGTCCGCTCCTCTTTGCTAGAAATGCACGAAGCATACATGATATGTAATCACGAACTCAGTACTAGTCATTTACGATACCTTATAAATTACTCGGGTATCCGGCTCTTTCAAATTGTATTGTAATATATAAAGCCATGCAGCAATTTAAGGGACCAATCAGTACGGGTAACCTAACAACATATATATTTTCACGTAGAGATATCATTACAGTTTAGGATTACAAATCTGTGCGCATGTAGTACACCATCTAAATGGTTATTAATATATGGCCACTAAAGAGAGAAAAACGGAATTTCTTAACGCTGTTGTGATCCCCAAATTAAAAGAATGTTTGTGCTCAAAACAGTGAGTGGAATTTTGAAAGAGAATATAAATTAATATTATAAATTTTGCATATCACAATTAAAGAACAAATTTAAAAATAAGGCAACATATTCTAAGGGTGATCTATACGGTATCCAATTAGGAATACCGGAACCACGCAACAATTAGATTGCTTAAATAACTGCAAACACAACTCTAATGTCGTCCTAAGATATCAGTAGGGATAGGAAATATAAAATTTCTTATTTACTGAACGGGTCGGCATTTTACGGCCTCCACGCGGCACAAACAACGCTGAAAAATATAGAGAAAAACAAAACCCCTAAAGAACGCATTGAAAATGTTGCAGGCTCGGTTTGTTTGAGTCTTTTCGTGGAAGGTATTGGAAAATGCATCATGGTTAACACGGTATCCAAAAGGAACATCCAAAATGGCAAAATTCTTGATGCAGTGTGCCTGTCCATAGACAGTGGTGGACTAGTGGTAAGCACAAGCTACCACTACCCACATACAGAAAGAAGTACTGTATTGCACATCTTAACCTTGACGTTTACACGCTACATTTGTATAAATAACCAGTCACAAAAAATGGCGCGAGTAAGCGTTAATATTGGAGTCAGAAAAGTTATCATCTAAAGGCACTCCAATGAACTCACATTGTTACTTTATATGATAAGATAAAACTTGTAATGATAAAGAACAAAGAACAAAAGACAAAAGCATGTGTTTTATATTTTATTTAATGTATAAAAAATAAACAATTTGATAATAAAACCTGAACATACTAAGTGGTATATTTGTACCTCTGGTAATGAATATCTTATAAAAGAATTGTAGAACGTATAAAATAGATGATAAAGATTCACAAAACATAGACGTTCAAACAACACCATTCATGTTTTGGTCAGTTAGTCAAGCTATAACTATTACAAGGAAAAATTACAAGATAACAGATTAGACAAGATAATCATAGTACAAAATACTGAAGGCATTGATACATGTACTTGAAACAAACAACAGAAATAATAGATTGTCAGAAGATAAGTGGTCAAGATGGTAGAAGTATAACATGCTAGAGTATTGATGCGAGTGGTCTGGTTGGATGAGTTGTAGAATTAATCGCATTAGTAAACTAATCTTTGGTTACTTTGAGGTCATCATTTTCACAAATTCTGAAAATAAAATACACACACACATTAGAAACAATATGACAAATATATTTACAGATATACAACTTTATTAAATATGAGTAATATGCGCTTAATTTGTTCGCAATATCGTTTCATATCTCTCAATAAAATGACACCAGTGGTCGATAACATTTATGTAGCTGACTTAACTTAAAATCTATACATCTCTTTTCATAAGTTCGATTCTTCACGTCAGTGACCTTAAAACCAATTACGCAGTCCCAAAGCATATCTCGCTTCATTTGAGCAGTCGCCACCCTTTTAATTGAAACAAAATCGCTCAATACATATCTACATGTATATAGCATTACTGAATTTGATAACTTAGGTCTTTTCACGGATCACTGGCTTATAAAATAATTGTAGGGTTCGTAAACAGCTAATTAAATCCTTCCACTTTGTCAAAATATCTCAGACAATTACGACAAATAAAACATGATTAACATAAGATGTTGTTTTTATAAAAATCTTTTTGAACTAACCTTCGTAGTTGACTTGACCATCACCGTCAATGTCAGCTTCTCTAATCATTTCGTCAACTTCTTCATCTGTAAGTTTTTCTCCTAGATTCGTCATTACATGTCTGAGTTCAGCTGCACTAATGTACCCATTGCCGTCTTTGTCGAAGACTCTAAAAGCCTCGCGGATTTCTTCTTCGCTGTCAGTATCTTTCATTTTACGAGCCATCATAGTTAAGAATTCTGGAAAGTCTATTGTTCCATTTCCTGTTGAAGTGGACAATAGAATTGTCAACATATAAAACATTAAAAAAGATAAACTTTAAGGTAATTGATATTTTGTCCGTATATCCCAAGGAAAGAATGCATACTTTATACAATGGAACTGATTACAGGATAAGAAAACATAAACGTTATCGACCTCGTGTTTTCACAAAAGTGATAAACTCATCTTATGCACTGGCTATGCAACTATTATTTTGGCGGGCCGATTTAACGGTCTTTGAAATTGAAAAAAAAAAATCTTATAATTATATCATGAAAATTACTGATTTAGAAATAACTTGAACTACTCCGTGTAGCTTGTATAAAGTTATTTCATTTTTATCTCTTGTTCATAGCTTGCACACATTGTGAATGCTTCCTACTCTGGTAACATAACATGAAATTTAAACCTTTGTGTTAAGATATAGATCTAAGGAGTGTATAATTTAATTACCGTTATCTTCTATTGCTCTTAATTAAATATAAATTATGTAGACATATACATTTAAATTATAACATTTATACATAAAGATATTTAATATGCACTATTTAAAGTCTCAAGTATTTTACTAACCATCAGCATCCACCTCATTGATCATGTCTTGTAATTCTGCTTCTGTAGGATTCTGTCCAAGGACGCATTACTGGTTTCCAAACCCTTTTTTTTGATTGTGCCAAACCCCCTCCTTTCAAAAAAACTGAACGCCTTAAAATTTTTGTAAGATAGATTTTAAAAAATGAAAGTGGGTTTTGGGAAAAAAAAAGAATTTTAAAAATTGAAGGAAAAAAGGAAATTTTTAAAAATAAAAAAGGGGAGACAAAAAACTTATTGATTTTGCCCTTTTGATTAAATACAAAAATTTAAGATAGAAAAACTTTAAAAATTTGAAAAAAATTTTAGATTTTGAAAAATTTTTAAAAAAACTTTCAGATATTTCCACCCCTTTTAAAAGTAATTGAACATTTTAAAAACTTCACTGGGAAAAAATTTTTGATAGATCATTCTAGATTTAAATCTTTTTTAAAAAAGTTATGTTAAATTAACCCCCTTAAACCCAAAATTTATTAAAATTTCCCGCGATTTGCTCTTCTGTCAACTGGTCAGCCTGCAATAGCGAGCAAGAAGTTATTGTTTAAATAAGCTTTTTATCAAACATATAATCACACATATATGCGGTTCAGAAGTTTATGTGAAATTATATAACGCCAAAAAAAACCATCAAAAAACAAACAAGTAGAGCAATTTGACGAATGAAACCTGTAGATTGTTAAACTAGTAGATTGTTATAATAATGAGGAAAATACAGAGTTCGCTAACTTTTTATTCGTTAACTTTAAGTTATTTCTGGTTATTCTGATATAATGTCAGTTTTTTGTCGGTAATATAATTGACAGTGTCAAGACTATTCATTGCTATTTGTTGCAGCATGTCAAAAACAAAAGAAAAATGTGACATAAAACTGTAAATCATGTAAACTGATTTTATTGACAATCAACAATTGTAACAAATTGTACAAACGATTTATGTATTTTAAATATTGTGCAAACTAAAAATCATTCAATTTTTAAAAACCCGAAAAGGAAAAAACCCCTTTTAAAAAAAGGTTTTTTTAGAAAATCAACAAATTTTTTAATTATGGTTTAAAAATGGCGCCATTTGGTGCGCAAATGACAATATAATTATCTCTTTTAAACTTTAAGATTTCAAAAAATTGCAAAAGATCGACGAAGTTCTGTATCTGATGTTTTATATTCAAC